AGAGCGTGCTCAACCCACGGTGAGTGTTGCTGTGCAGGCACGCGTGTGGGCATGTGAGGCAGTTGCTGAGGGCTCGTCCCAAGCGGGGCACCACGTGTTCATCAACCTGCACTCCGAGAAGGTCTACTGCCTGCCCGACGGCTACCAGGTCTCCGACCCCTCGCTGGACGACATCACGAGCGTGCTCAACCCACGGTGAGTGCTGCCCTGCTGTCTAGGTGAGTGCTCCTCTGAACCCCCGCCGAGTTCGACGGATATCAAGTCTCCGACCCCTCGCTGGACGACATCACGAGCGTGCTCAACCCACGGTGAGTGCTGCCCTGAACGCTTAGTGAGTCTGGCTTTGATGTTTCAATGAGTGCTGCTCCTGCTCCCGTGTGAGTGCTTAAACCACTGAAGGTGGCTGGTCAATCATCCCTCAGTGGATGCTGGCCTGTGTTGCACAACTGTAGAGGCGCCTCAAAAGATCCCTCAGTGGAAGCTGTCCTGTGTTGCACATTGTCTCTGCCATGGTCCCATACCCTGTCCCCCTCGTCCCCTTGCTCATCTCCCATTCTCCCTCTCTCCCTTTCGTCTTTCTGCATCTCATCGTGACATCATGCTGGCGTCACCAGGTTCACTGCCGCCCAGATCGAGCAGTTTGACCGCAGCAAGCAGTGGGCTCGTGCATTGGACGGCACGGATTACATCCCTGGCATGGTGAGTGCAGTGTGATACAGACAGACTTAGGGGTGTGGGGTGAGATGTGGCGTGGAAAAGTGGGTTCATTTTTCTATTTTTCTCTCCTTCCCCCTTCACTCGTTCCCCATCACCCCTCCCTCCTCTCTTCCACCCTCTTCCACCCCCTTCCATCTCCCAGGTCGGTCTGATCAACATCAAGGACACGGGGTACGGGAATGTGATCATTCAGTCGCTCACGTGCCTCACGCCCCACCCGTGTCCCCCCTCAACCCTCCCCTTCCTCCTCCTCCTTACCCCCTCCCCCCTCGTTGCTTCCCTTTCAGGTGGGTCTGATCAACATCAAGGACACGGGGTACGGGAATGTGATCATTCAGTCGCTCACGTGCCTCACACCCTTCCCGTGTCCCCCCTCAACCCTCCCCTTCCACCTCCTCTTTGCCCTTTGCCTCTCCCCCTTCCACCCCCAGGTGGGGTTGAACAACATAAAGGACACGGGGTATGTGAATGTGATCATCCAGTCGCTCATGCGAGTCACGCCGCTCCGCAACTTCTTCCTCCTCCCAGCCAACTACACGCCCGCCTCCCACTCGCCCGCCGCCCAGCCCACTGCGCTCGTGCGCCGCTTTGGGGAGCTCGTGCGCAAGGTGTGGCACCCGCGGAACTTCAAAGGGCAGGTACGATACGAGAGCATCAAGGGGTGGGTATGGCAGAGAGACAGTCAGCCCGCCTCCCACTCGCCCGCCGCCCAGCCCACTGCGCTCGTGCGCCGCTTTGGAGAGCTCGTGCGGAAAGTGTGGCACCCGAGGAATTTCAAAGGGCAGGTGCGTCAAGTGGACAGTCTTTTTTTCTGATTACCTGTTCTTTGGTGACTGTATTGCGCAATTTCTTGATGCGTTGGAAATCTGGTGCGGAAAGTGTGACAGTCAAGGAAGTTCAAGGGGCAGGAGAGTCTGTCCTATTTGTCACTATGTCTGATGCTCTGTTGACGTTTTGAACTTACCCTACACCCCCACATCTCCCCCCTCTCGCCCCACATCTCCCCCCTCTCGCCCCACATCTCCCCCCTCTCGCCCCACATCTCCCCCCTCTCGCCCCACATCTCCCCCCTCTCGCCCCACATCTCCCCCCTCTCGCCCCACATCTCCCCCCTCTCGCCCCACATCTCCCCCCTCTCGCCCCACATCTTCCTCTCCTCCCTTCCTTTTCCTTCAGGTCAGCCCGCACGAGTTCCTTCAAGCCATCATGCTTGCGAGCAAGAAGCGGTTTCTCATCGGCAGCAGTCTGAATTCCATGCTTTGCCCGCTCACACCCTTCCCTTCTCAGCCTGACCCCCTCTACTTACCCTGCCCTCCCCCACCTCTCCCCTCTCCCCTTCTTTTCCTTCAGGTCAGCCCCCACGAGTTCCTTCAAGCCATCATGCTCGCCAGCAAGAAACGGTTCCTAATTGGCCAGCAGTCAGACCCCCTCGACCTCCTCTCCTGGCTGCTAAACACTCTCCACGCAGACTTAGCTAAAAGCGCTGCTGCTGCTGCTAAAGCCGCAGGCAAGAAGGCGCATCATATTAGCTCCATAATCCAGGAGTGCTTTCAGGGAGAGCTGGAGGTGATTAAAGAAGTCGCAGGGAAGAGCAGTTGTGTGGAGGATGGGAAGAAGCGGAAACGGGAGGGGGAGGAGGGGAAGGAAGGGGGGGATGAAGGGGATAAGGAGGAGGAGGATGGGGTGAAACGCGAGGTTAGTCGGATGCCGTTTCTGATGCTGGGGTTAGATCTGCCGCCTCCACCGCTTTTTAAGGATGTAATGGAGAAGAATATTATTCCTCAGGTTCCCCTGTTCAATATTTTGAAGAAGTTTGACGGGCAGACCGTGACTGAAGTGGTGCGCCCGCATCCTGCCCGCATGCGGTATCGGATCACGCGGTTACCGCGGTACCTCATCCTCCATATGAAGCGATTCAAGAAGAACAATTTCTTCATAGAGAAGAACCCCACTCTTGGTGAGTGCACCTGTCCTCCTTATAGCTTGTGCAACACGCACCCTTTGTTTATGGTGGCTACCTATTTTATTTTATTCCTGCAGAATGGTTCGCGTCGCTCCCATGTAAGCATGTATGCTTTCGATCAAATCGCTCAGGGGTAGTATGTGACACACACCTCAACTCTTCCTCTCTTTACCTCGAGCTGAAGGACTATCTGCCTGCCGCTGCAAGAGGTGGCATGCGATGGCTGAAACTCATCCTTTTGTGCCCATGCTCCTCCTCCCTTTCCTCCTCCTTCTCCCCCCCTCACTCAGTGAATTTCCCGGTGAAGAACCTTGATCTGAAGGACTATCTGCCGCTGGAGGAGGTGGGATACAACGGCTCCCTTATGTGCACATACCTTTTTCCTCTCTCCACTCTTCTCCCTCTCCCTCCTCGCTCAGTGAATTTCCCTGTGAAGAACCTTGATCTGAATGACTATCTGCCTCAAGGGTGGTGGCTGCTCAATTCTCCCACTCTTTCCCTCCCTTTCCCCCCTCCGCCCATCCCCCCCCTCCCCACTTCCCAGTGAACTTCCCAGTGAAGAACCTAGATCTGAAGGACTATCTGCCGCTGCAGGAGGTGGCATACGATGGCTGAAACCCTTCCTTTTCTGCACATGCTCCTTCTCCCTTTCCTCCCACCGATCTCCCCTCCTTCCCCCCCTCCCGCAGTGAATTTCCCTGTGAAGAACCTAGAGCGGAAGGACTATCTGCCTCTGCAGGAGAGGTGGCATACTATGGCTGAAACTCGTCCTTTTGTACGCATGCTCCTTCTCTATCACCCCCCCCCCCGTTCTTTCCCCCCCCTCTCAGTGAACTTCCCGGTGAAGAACCTAGAGCTGAAGGACTATCTGCCGCTGCAGGAGGTGGGATACAACGGCTCCCTTATGTGCACATACCTTTTTCCTCTCTCCACTCTCCTCCCTCTCCCCCCTCGGTCAGTGAACTTCCCTGTGAAGAATCTCGAGTTGAAGGACTATCTGCCGCTGCAGGAGGTGCTATACAATGGCTTCTCATGTACACGTCCCCCTTTTCCTCCCTCCACTCTCCTCTCTGTCCCGCTTCCCCCAGTGAACTTCCCTGTGAAGAATCTCGAGTTGAAGGACTATCTGCCGCTGGAGGGGTTGGAAGGGGGAGGGAAGCTTCGCAGCAAATATGATCTGATCGCAAACCTGGTGCATGATGGCAAGCCAGGCGAGGGCTCCTATCGTGTGTTCGTGCAGCGGAAAGCGGAAGAGGCCTGGTGAGTGGGTGTCTTGAAACCGTGTTGAACAGGCATGTGTGACCTTGTTGACACCCAATGTGGTGGTGCATGATGGCAAGCCGGGGGAGGGCTCGTACAGCGCGTTCGTGCAGCGCAAGGCAGAGGAAGCTTGGTGAGTGGGTGGCTGTCTTGTTGAACAAGTCAGGTATGAGCTCATTGATAGCCAACGTGGTGCATGATGGCAAGCCGGGGGAGGGCCCCTACCGTGCGTTCGTGCAGCGCAAAGCAGAAGAAGCATGGTGAGTGGGTGTCTTGTCGAACGAGCCGTGTTGAATGAAACACGAGGAGGCACGGGAAGTGAATGTCTCTAGTTTCACGCGCTGGGTTGACGGACCACAGTGTCTCTAGTTTACAGAGGGAGGCCCCACCAAGACAGGCTAGAATGGTGTTGGGCGTAGTAACTCCCATGCAGATCACCAAGCTTTACCATGTGCCTTCCCTCCGGTGTTTCTTCTCTCTTTGTGAACCCCCAGGTACGAGATGCAAGATCTACACGTGACAGAGACGCTGCCTCAAATGGTGGCCCTGTCTGAAGCTTATATCCAGATTTACGAGCAGCAGCAGGATTGAGAGTGAGGTGCAATGCTACTGCTTCAATAATACGGTACAAAGTAAAATAATAGCAAAAATAATACTTGAATTGTACTACTACCATATGTACTTGCAACAGCCAATGCATCTTCACTCAGATCCAACAACGCAACCAAGACAGGGAAAAACATGGTACAGCAGCAATAAAGAAATTGTCCATTCCAGGTAGGGCAACCCTTGCTGTAGTGACCTGGCCTCAGTACCCCTGACCACAGCTCTCAACCCAGCCACAGCTTTCGCTCTTTACCCTTTCATCCCTTCAACCCTCCCAAGTTCCACAACCCCACCCCCTCCCTCCCAACGCCCCTCCTCCAGAGCATGTACCGTAGCTGGGCGCTGTGGGTCGTGTGGGCTCCAGTCCTGCTTGCAGCATCTGGGCGGCAGTAACAAGCTGACTTTTGAGTCAACTCAAAAGTCAGCTCTCCCCTCCCTCCCCCGCGCCCCCCCTCTAGAACATGTAGCTGGGCGCCGTGGGTCGTGTGGGTTCCGGCCCTGCTTGCGGCATCTGGGCGGCAGCAGCACCCGTTACAGGCAGACTTGTGGTTTGCACAGGCACATCCCGCACCATCAACGGCTGCCCCACGCTGTTCGGCGAAACAGTGGCACCTGCTGAGGAGTCCAACCCTTTCCACTCGTTCGCGCCCGCATGCTCACCCTCCTCTGAATCCCCATCCTCGTTCTCATGCTCGTCCTCATCCTCGTTATCGTCATCACCAGGCGATTCTTCCGACCCGGGCGCGCTAATCCCCGCCTCCTGCTCCGCCGCCATCGCGTTTTCGTCCGCCTTTTGCGCCTCTGCCGCCAGCCGCTCCACGCGCTTGTCCGCGGCATCGCGCTTCTTGGTTACCGCCTTGAGCTGCTCTTTCGCCACGCTCACCTGCGCCGCGGCTTTCTTCATGCTCTGGGTCGCCGCCCTGAATTCCAGCTCTGCTGTTTTCACCTGCGCCTCGGCCTGCGCCGCCAGCGCCTCCGAGGCCTGGATTGACTCGAATTGGGCTTGCTCGTCCGGCGTCGGCGTCGCGGTCGGCGCCGCCGCCGCCGCCCGTGCCGCCGCTAATTTCGCCGCCGCTTTCGCTTCCTCTTTCGCCGCTTCGTCGGCTTTCTTCTTCAATTCTTTGGCCTTCTTCTGCTCCTTATTATACGACGGCGAGCCGCCATACGCCTGCGCATATCCCGCCTGCGCGCCGTAGCTCGACGGCTGTAGCTGACTCATAATATCTTGCTGGGCGGCATACGCGGCGTCTGCCTGCTCGCGCTTCTGCTTCGCCTCGTTGTATTTCCGCTCCGTCTCCGCTACAGCCGCCTGCGTCTTGGAGTAACCCTCGTACCGCTTCTTCCCCGCAACAGTCTTTCGCGCGGCTGTAGCGGCCTTCCGCGCGCTTACGGCGACCGCCTTGGCGCTGTCGAGCGCGGTTCGCGCCTGCGCCCACGACGCCGCCATCGCCTGCGCGTCGGTCTTCGCCGTGTCGAGATTCTCCTGCGCGTCGGCTTCCTGCTGCTGCAGCAGCGACGCGATTTGCTCCGCCGCGTCGAGCTGCGCCGCCTTCTGGTCGGCGATCGCGCGGAGCCGCACCGCTTTCTGTAGGGGCGTCTCGGCTTTACGAGCTCTGTAGCGACCGTATGCTTCTGCCGAGTCGATGCTTAAAAGGGTTATTAGAAGGAAGGTGGTGACGAGTCGGACTCGTAAAGTTCCCATGTCGGGCCAGCTGTGGTTTCTAAGAGGGTAGTTGAAGTATGTACTTGGACAACGCGCGCGCTTGGGTCGCTGCGCCGAGTGAAATGCTCTCTCGGAAATGCTCAGAGTTTATTAGAGATTCCACCTAAAGCAACATGCTGCAATGATGCCTCGACGAAAAGGTAGAAAGGAAATAGGTTGGTGGCGGAAGGATGAGCGGGAGAGGCGGGGTGGGCCAAGTTGGACTATGAATACATGGGAGGGTTGAAACTGGGTTCAGGAAGGTTGAGCTGGAGACGACAGGGACTGGAGGGGGACGAAAAAAAACAGCTTCTGTGAACTCGTTTCGCCTAAATCATTGGTGAGAAGCCTGCGACTGAACGAAAGATACAGTAACATTCAACAGAATGGTTAACGAAACAGTCAGCGAGCTGGGCGAAAACCGTTTCAGTGTGATTAACGCCAGGTGGCTTTTCTGCCACAAATCCCGAGCCCAGGGGACCAAATTGTCCTTTCTGTCAAACAACCCCCACTGGGTACACTATTTGTCGAACCTGCACATTCACATGGCCACGTCAGCTGCAGCTCAATGAAGCGACCCGCAGTGGGTGGAAGAACCGACAAAGATACGGTTTCGCCCAGATCAGATTAATAAGGTCTCTCAGGTGAGTTCCTCGATTGAGAATCTCGACAATTCTGCACTCCGGTTTGGCTGACAGAACTTTCCGTTACACCTACATTTCTAACTGCTAAGGAGATACAGCCATAACAACCCCGACCATGAGGACGCGGTGAAAGTGCTCGATGGGGGGTAGATCGATTCGGTCACCGCACTGAACCCTGCTTTCTGGAAACGAAACGTACACAACCTTTTATAACCGCGCTAAAAAACGATCCTTAGGCGATCGATTCTCCACTTTCACCGCGTCCTGAGCTGAGCGTGTCTGGAATTTATCCATGCACCTGGTAACTGAACCAACAGCAAGGCGTTTAGAACCAATAGCTAAGACCCATGTACTATAGCAAGCTAGCTCACTCACTGTTTAATATCAGTTGCCGCTAAGTTCAGGTTCCAGGCAGCAAACAGCTGGTGATGGAACCCCGAGCAGTTTTGTAGGCTGCACCATGCAGCTAGACTTCTCCTTATTGTGAAACCCACTTTAGCCAAATGGTCAATTTTCATAATGCAGCATGAACTGGCTTGGTTAGACTTCAATATGTTGAGCTAGATGTTGAGTTGACACAAAGCATACTCCAAGTAACACAAGGGGAGCACTCTATAAGCACGAAGGAATCACCAACAGCATACCAATCTAGCTAAGCGTACAAGGGCGTGGTCAGGTCGCACATCCACTGTATGCTATCTGCAGTCTAAATCACTCTGCCAAGGTGCAAAACGGAAAACCGCTTTCAACCACGCGGAAACCATCCTGAGCCACGAAGCATGAACTGTAATGTATGACCTGACCACGCCCTTAGCACCATTATGTCCACGGACCTCATCACATCAACCAAACAGCCAGCTCAGTAAGGAGTGGCTCCCCACGGCCTGCGGCTGCTGAGTCGCCTGGACTGCCGCGCTAAGAGAGGGCGTTACACCCGCTGCCGCCTGCCCAGGTTGCACGGATTGCAGCCCGAGAGAGTCCTTCCCGTACCTCCCGCCCTTCCCATACCCGTTACCGTTCCCCCTCTGCCCCTCGCCCTTATCCCCGCGCCCGCCCTTGCCCCATCCGTTCCCGCCGTGTCCGTCGTGTCCCGGCCCGTGGTCGTGGTCGTCATGTCCCGGCCCGTGGTCGTCCTCGTACTCATCCTCGTCGTCGCCGTCGCAATCGTCGCCATCGCCACCGTTGCCAGGGGGTGAAGGGTCGGATCCAGGCGCGGGGTCTGACCCCTGCGCGGGCGTTTGCGAAGCCTCCCACTCTTGCTCCGCCGCCATAGCCAGGTCTTCCGCAGCCTGCGCCTCCGCGGACGCCTTCTCCGCCACTTTTTCCGCGGCCACGCGGAGAGCTTGCGCCTTGGCGCGCTTGTTCTTTGCGCGGGTGACCTTCTCCGCGGCCGCCTTCACGCTCTGCTCCGCAGCTTTTGTCTCCGCATCTGCCGCCCTGGCGTCGGCTTCCGCCTGCGCCGCCGCAGCGTCCGCCGCGTTTGCCTTGTCGAGCGTTGCCTTCTCCTGCGGGGTCAGCGTGGCGCTAGCAAGGGCGCTTTGCGCCTTGGTCAGCGCAGCAGACGCCTTACTCTCCTCCTTGGCCGCGGATTGAACATTCTTTTGAAGCTCCGCAGCTCTCTTCTGCTCTTTCGCCGCCTTCTGCGCCGCGGGGCTCCGCGCACTGAAGCCCGTGGCGGCGGCGGAAGCGGTGGTCGCGACGTTCTGCTGCGCGGCGGCGGCGGCCTCCGCGTTCTGGCGTTTCGTCGTCGCGTCCGCGAGGTTTTTCTCAGCAGTCTTGGCATTGTTTTGCGCGGCAGTATATGACTCAACCCTCTTCTTTATCGGAGCGAGGGACGCCTTCGCGGCATTCGCGCTCTTTCGTGAATTAGCGGCGGAAATAATCTTCGTGTCCGATGTCTTCTTAGCCGTGCTCCACGCCACGGCCGCGCCTTGCGCCGCCAATTGCGCTGCATCAACCTCCGCCGCTGCCGCCTGCTCCGCCTCAAGCCGCGTGGTCACGACGGACTGCGCGGCGTCCAAAGCGGCTGCTGCCTTGTCCGCTGCTGCGCGCAACCGCGCGGCTTTCTCCGCCAGGGTCTCCTGTGGCGCGGGCTGGACTCTAGCGTGCGCTGCTAACTGACTCGAGAGCGCGAGGAGGAGCAAGGCCAGAGGGAGGAATCTGATCCCGCCGATCGTCGTCATACTGAACTGCGTTCAGTGCGCGTTAGCGTGGAGGGTTTGTGAGGGGGGACGGGGAAGACGAAATTAATGTGTTTCTAAGGCGTGAATGGAGGAGCTGGTCTGAAAAAGAAATGGGAGTTGCTTTATGCTTCGGTTTCTGGAACAGATAGAGCTTGGGGAGAGAAGGCGGGGGACGAGGCGGAGCAGCAAGAGGCGAGTGGGAGGGGCATGGAGCGAAAGGAGTTGGTTGGGTTGGGCCAGAAGGAGGGGAAGAATTTTTCAACAGACCAGCCGCCAGCGAAAAGCTAGTTGGCGAAATTGCGATCCGTCTGGGGGCATTCGTCACATTGCGGATTCTGATGTGTACAGTCCCCTACAAATGATGTATTTCCTGGGCGTCGATTTGCCGCGGGACTTTCGCCAGGGTCTGTGCAGCTTTGTCTTCTTCTCAGGGTACACACGATGCTCAACCCCTGCGCGCGATTTTGCCCTTCCAGAATAGAAAGTCTGCACCCGTGTTTTTTTTACCAGCCCGTTGCACCCACATTACAAGCTCCTTGAGCAACTTGCAGTGTTTATGAACCAATCATAACCACAGAAACCGAAGTCAAGCAGAAGAGACCGAAGTCAAACTATCAACGAGAAGTTCCAAATATTTTATAAGCCCCTTTTTGCTGGGTTCGACGTTGACGAAATTTGCGAAATACCCAGAATCACCTAAAAGCCCCCTTCACAAGGCGACCTTGGGTTAGTCAAACGGGCATCGTGTGTATTTTGTTGGAGCACAGGTCTGGTCTGTAACCAACTGTTCCGAATCTGCTCAACCCTGGAAGGCACAATTGACAGCTTATCCGCCGCGATTCGATCATGTGATGTGACAGGACAGCCATGCGTGCCCATGCCACCGCCACCAACCACGGCACGGCAGCATGTGTGTGGGTGTTGTCGTGCCGTACACAATTCTGTCCACCTTGGCAGTCCGAGAATTTCAAGCCACCGCCATGTTCTCCGACGAGTGGATGGTGGTGTACAGGCCACAACTGCTGAAACGTGGTCAAATGAGGGCGGGTCTTTGCAGGGAAGGGTTCTGTTCTGTCTGGTGGCAATGCTCGAAAGTGGTACTGTAGAGAAGGAAGGAAAACTCTCCATAGCGCTGCTACTGTATCCCACCATGAAAACGATTGACCTGGTGTGGGTGAAAGTACTCCATCCTCGATTGTAGAGTCTACGAGTGGGGTGGCTATCACGGTCGATGTGCGTTGATTCTAGCTGCTGGTGTTAGGGGTTTTCTGTATCCCATATACGTTTCCATGAGGAAACGTCAGGAATAAGGGTGTGCTCAGATCTTACGTCCCCTGTACGTTTTGTGTGGTATACTTCTCTACATCGCGGTGTGAAACGGTAGACCTTAACTGAAAATTTACGACCTGGTCACGCCATAGCCATGCCGTTCCATGCCCGGATGGGCACATTTAGTTCATGCACATAGCACACAACAAACAATATTGGAGATGCACGAGTTCCTCAATATAGTACCACTTCCTTGGTAGAAACTCAACTGAATTCCACAAAACCACTTAATGAGCCCACGTATCAACTCCAACTTCTCAACACCTCTCACCATCTTTTGCCAAACCCTAGCCACCCACCCCTCCCTTCCTGCACATACTGTTCGTACCCCTCCTCTCCCTGCTCATCCTTCCCGTCCGCGTGTGGCGCTAAGAGCTGAACCTCTAGGCTGGCAAGCAGAATCAGAATGGCGCCCGCGGCAGTGGACGTGCTAAGCGTTTCTCCTAGCAAAAAGAAGGCCAGGAGGCTGCCCCAGAGGGGGCTCATGGTGAGAATGAGCGTGGCTGTGGATGCTCGCACGAAGCGCAACGCTTCCAATTCAAGCCACTCGCACATGCCTGCAGGTGGTGGTGAGGGGGGTGGTTCAGACAGGGATGAGGAGCAGGAGAAATGAAGGCAGGGAAAGAGAAGGGAGGGGAAGGGTGGGGGTGTAGAGTGGGGAGAAAGGGCATGGAGAATGACACATGGTGCTCCTGGAGAGGGGCCGGATGGTACATGGATGGGATGCACGCACACACGGCCAATGAGCTCAACATGCCTCACACTCCAGCAACTCATCCCAGTAGTACACACAGGCACCAACCCGCCAGCCACTCCCATTCCCTCTCTTACCTGTTCCGAACGGCCCAGCCAGCAGCGCCATGCCAATGGGAGCAGCAGCAGCCACGGCCAGAAGCTGGTTCCACGCTATTACTGCCCCACTGCCGTCTCCCCCCGCCACTGCAATCCCCCCTGCTGTGAACGCGATGCCTGCCAGCGAGAGCAGCACCCACACCACGCCCATGGCTGCTGTGGTGCCCAGCTGCAGGATCACGAGGATGAGCGGGTCGTAGCGCGCACACAGGACCTCGGAGCGCACCTGAGTGAGAGGGGAGGGGAGCAAGTGTGCAGGAGAGATAGTGAGTACGGGTTGCATGTCAGCTACAGGATGATAGCACACTCACCACGTGCATGGCACACTCACCTCACCACGTGCATGGCACACTCACCACGTGTATGGCACACTCACCACATGGATGGCACACTCACCACATGGATGGCACACTCACCACGTGGATGGCACACTCACCACGTGGATGGCACACTCACCACGTGGATGGCACACTCACCACGTGAATGGCACACTCACCACGTGGATGGCACACTCACCACGTGGATGGCACACTCACCACGTGGATGGCACACTCACCACATGGATGGCACACTCACCACATGGATGGCACACTCACCACGTGGATGGCACACTCACCACGTGGATGGCAGAGCCCACGGCGCCAATGAGGCACCACACGTGGCCAACAGGCAGGCTCCACTGCACCGGCACTGACGCCATCGCTGCTGCCGCTGTGTCAGCGATGACGTTAGCGGAAGCTGATGCTGAGCTGGCGATGATGTCAGCAGGCGTGGCTGCTACTGCAACAGCTGTGATGGTCTCTCCGCCTTCCAACATCACCATGCCTGTTGGTGTGGGTGTGGGAGTGGGTGAGGGTATGGGTGAGGGTTGAGAATACGGGGCACTCACCCCAGGAGTTCAACACATGCGTGAGCAAGTGAGACGACACAGGAAAGGCGCTGGAGGCAGGAAAGGAGGAGACGGCGGAAGCTTTACGAGAGTGGAGAGCATGGAGAGCGTACCGGTGCAAGCGAGGAGCGTGGCAATCCACACGCTGCGGTTGATGGGCGTGCCTGAGAGGGCCTCCAGAAACGGAACCAGCACCACCTGCAGTGCAGTGCGGTGCAATGCAGTGCAGTGTGGTGCAGCACACATACATTACGATTGGGTTGTGAGACCGTCTCCCACAGGAAATGCAATTAGGTGCACAAACTGCTACGTAGGAGCGAGAATGATATGTTGGAGAAAGGTCCAGAGTCCAGCACCGGGAGTAGAGGAGTTGACATACACGGGGGAGGGGGGGTTGTAAAAGTTGGGGGATTTGGAGGCGATGTACTGGGGTAGTAAACTGGATTTGATTCGCCCCAAGAAGGGGAGAGGATAGGGGGCGAGAGATATTGATCGTACCGAGACGGTGAGGATGAGAGCAGCATCATCCGCGGAGGTGGTTTCAAGCCCAATGGCCTGCCCGGCGTACGTCACAAACATCCACACGCCCAGCTCCACGCCCCCCACCACCATCGCCGCCCGCTCCCGCCGCTCCTTCTTGCTCCCGCCCACCATCGACTCCCACACCCCCCCTACTAGCCCCTCCTGCCCTCCGTTCTTCTTGCCCTTCTTTTTCCCTTTCCCTTCCTCTGGCTCTGTTTTTCCCCGGCCGTTGCTGCCCTTGGTGTCAGTCTCGCCACCGTCAGTTGCGGCCTCCCCCAGTAAAGCCGTCATGGGGTTGGCAAATCCGGTGTTACCCCACAGGTCCCATGCCGCATCCCACGAGTCCCGGAAGCTTCCAAGCACTTTCTCTCCCCAGGTTACCTCTTTTTTGTGTGTCCTCTCGTGGTGCATCCTCGCGACGTGTCTCACCAGCGCAAACCCGCCCAGCCCGATCGTCGCAAAAAAAAACCGAATGGCAAACTCCACACTTGTATCGAGACTCCCAAAAAGGGGATAACCAGCGGCACCAGAACCAAACATACCCTCGAACATACGCTCCCCCAGCAACCCGCTGAGAAACCCTCCACCAATCACATCACTCACTACCTCCCCCACAGGCGTCGAAATCGCCTCCCCCACCGCCACCCCCGCAGCAGTCACCGCCGCCGCGCCAGCTACCGCTCCCCCGACCTCTCCCCCCGCGCCGGCCCCCCCGTGGAGCTCCTGCATGAGCTTAACGGTCACCGCGGTGGCGGCGTAACCGAAGGCGAGGACATTAAGGAGCATCACCGCTTGGTCTTTAGAGAGATTAATGCTGTACGGCGGCGGCTGCGGCGGCTCGAACGCGTCCTTCGACAGGAAGGTTCGGCGAACCCAGAAGGCGAAGTCCGTGAGCGGCCCGGGAGGGATTCCGGCAATGGATTGCGGGAGCTTGATGTCTGTTTGTCGCTGGTGGTCTTTGTGCCGCTTGTGGTGGTGGCCGAGGGGGTGGTTGTGGTGATGGCGCGCGTGATGGTGGTCCACTCTCTCTACCTCGTGCTGATGCCGTTTATGATGCTTGTGATCATGGTGATGCTCGTGTTGATGGTCATGATGGTGATCCTTGTGATGCTCTTGGTTATGATGCTGCTCATGGTGGTGCTTGTGATGATGTTGGTGCTGATGGTGAATGCCGGATTTCTCCTCCTCATGGTGCCGATGGTGCTTCTTGTGGTGAAGCTCCTCATTCTCATGGCTACGATGGCCGTGGCTGTGGCTATGATCCTCAGAATGTCCGTGTCGGTTTCTGTGGTGCGAATGCCGTGACGAATGCTCGCCGTCGGATTCCTCATCGCTCGAGGATCTGTGGTGGAGATGATGGGAATGATTGGCGTGCTGCGAGTGGTGACCCTGGTACCCGTGTTTGCTATCTGCGTGCTCCTTGTGCTGCTTCTTCCGTTTCTCCCACCATTTATCCGCGCTGCTTAGCACGCGAGACACCCCGCTAGACCAGCCCTTTCCGCCTGACTCGTTATTGGAAGCCCTCACGCCAATCCGACGCAAACCTGTAGCGTTTCGACGTTGGGATTCGCGAATTTTGGAAAATCGGCAAGTCCGTTCTTGTAAGAGCAAGCCGCAAGCGTCCTTCTTGCTGATGATTGTTGAATTGGGAATGTGCATGACCATAGCGGAATTCGAGTGAACTGCCACTCCCAATCCCTTGGTGTAATCGGTAAGCGGTGCGATGGACCCACATTCTACGACACGGAGGGCCATGGAAAACCCGTGCCCGAAAAATAGAACGTGAGCAGCAGGTTAGGAACCTACCCGACCTCCTTCTCAAGTGAGAGAAGGGACTTGCAGTGGACTCTAACCCTTAACCTAACCTGGAGCTTGCACAGCAGATTGGGAGGTAAGACACTCCAGATAAAGATGAAATGAATTTGAAACTGGAGCTCAGTTCACAGGCTATCCATACATGGGAGACCTGCTTGCAGGAAACAAGTGAAGCTGCATCAGTCAAGAGGAGAAGCTGGAGGAGAAGAGACTGGAAGGAAGAGGCAAGCAAAGGACACTGTTGCAGAGCGGAAAAAGGGCAAATGCTGTTCGGTGACCGCTGACACACGAAGCCGAAACAAAGTTCGGGATATTCTCGCGCCAAGAAGCAGACCAACCAAAGATCAGAGAATATCGAGGTTGTTGATCAGGAAGGGCTAGTGATTGGACAAAGAGGTGCTAGCAACGGCTTGCGCGGTGTTTTCTGAGAAGTGATTGGGCACGCGTAGCTGGAATCTCGGAGCCTTGACACGACCATATCGAGGTTGGTTGGTGAAAGGGAACACTCCAACCCGGCGAGTTGGACGAACGGCCAATAAACGATCTCGATGCTGCGTTGGCGAATTGTCAGCACCGTCAAGAGGTTTTAGGGCCAAGAAAAAGGTTCTGGCGGGCAAGCTCTGCTGGTGGATGACTCAGTCCCACATCAGCTAAAGGACACTTCTGGCGCTTCAGCTGGCGCAGCAGTGAACACGTGCTTAGACGCATTTTCGCGATTTTCAACGACCTATATAGTGAGGATTGATAAGCCTAAACTTGTCATATTAAAATCCGCATACTGGTAAATGTTGGGAATCACAAGATAATTCACAGCCCATTCTTTCTTAAAATTTCACTCCCAAACTATGCCATCATACTAAGTAATTTCACGGACTGAGAGAAGGTGCACGCCGCCCCCTCCCTTCCCCCTCAATCTCCCTCTCCATCGACCGATCCCTCCAGCTCCTCTTGCCCTCCCGCCTTCTCCCATCTCTCCTCTCCCCTCCATACGCACCACTCTCCCCTCCACCCCCAATCGACCCCTCCCTCTGTCTCTCCCTCCCCCCAAAATGGTGATGCATCGTCCTATGATGCTCCTCACCATACGAGCCCCTCTCCTCATCCTCCTCCTCATGCCCCCGGTGCTGCCTCCCCGAAAGCTGCCGGCTAAACTCCCGCCTAAACCCGTGCCGCTCCCGACCCTCCCTCACAAACCCCTGCCCGTCCCGATCCTCAGCCTCGGACCCTTCCTGCGACCCCTGCATACCCTGCCCCTGCGGCTGCCCCTGCCGCCTGTCCCGCTCCCGCTCTCGCTCCCTCTCTCGCTTCAGCGACCCCCCCCTCTGCATGCCCTGTCCCGGCTGCTGCTGCTGCTGCTGGGAGTGCGGAGGGGGGAAGTGCTGCTGGGATCTCTCAGCCTCCAACACGCCTGCCTTGAAACGTGAGAGCTCTTGGACCTCGGCGTCTCTCAGCTGCAGCTGCCTCTGCAGCTTGTACACCGTCTCCTCAAGCTTCTCCGCCTCCTCGTTGATCTCATCCACATACTCCTGTAGCTCTTGCCAGGGCGACGAGCAGTAGGAGGGAAAACGGAGTGGGGCAGTTGGGGGGAAATAGGGCAGGTCAAAGTGTGTACATTAAGGCGCGTCAGATACAGCCTTCTTTCCCTCCTCGTTGATCTCATCCACATACTCCTGTAGCTCCGCCAGGGCGCCAAAGGGGCAGTGGGGCAGTGGAGCAGTGGGACAGTGGAGCAGTGGGGCAGTGGGTGGACAGAGGGCAGAGGGCAGGTCAAAGTGTGGCTTTGAGGCACTCAGAAACAGAATTCTCCGCCTCCTCGTTGATCTCATCTACATACTCCTGTAGTTCTGCCACAGAGCGGAGCAGTAGGAGGGGAAACGGAGTGCGTCAGCCGGGGGAAAAAAAAGCAGGTCAAAGTGCATCTTTGGGGCCTCGGAAAGACGCTTCTCTGCCTCCTTGTTGATACTCCTGTAGCTCTGCCCGAAACACATGGGACACACGGTAATGAGGGGAAAAGAGCGCAAGGAAAAACACATGGAGTTTCATGCCGCCCTCATACGACAGGATCATGCAGATTGCAAGGAGAGAAGAAGTAAGAACAAAACACTTATGTTTAGACTAATTAAATGACACTAATTACACTGCTGCAGGGTTAACGTGCCTCAGTGCGCTACCTTGGTAACCGCGCTTGAGCTCCGAGCTGAGCTGCTTCTGCAGAGCCAGATTGCTAAGGGATTGATGGATTCGAACCGCAGCAAGCTTGTAGAGTGGGAAACGGGTAGAAAGAGGGTGAAGGCTCTACCTTGGTAGCCGCGCTTGAGCTCCGAGTTGAGCTGCTTCTGCAGGGCGAGCTTGTTCTCCAGTTCATGCACCTGACAGACGTGACAGGCAGGATGGATCAAAGCACGAGTGGGAAGGGAAACAAGATGATTCAAATAAAGTGACTCATCAAGAGGAAAACAGCGTGTTCAAATAAACTTATGCAGGCCGAGCTTGCGTTCCGGCTTGTTCCCGTGCAGGAGGCAGGTAGACAAGAGCAATGGAGGGGGCACATGATGTGCCTGTCAAATAACATGTGCACAGACTTCAAATCAGCACAGCCAGCCCTCTGTCACCATTTTCCCCTGGCCCAGGGCCTACTTCACCTCACCTACAGGCTACAGCACCCCGAATGCCACCTGCCCCAGTCGCACCTTGCCCTCAGCAGCCTCCCTGCAAATCTCCTCCTTCTCCTCCTGCAGGGTGCGGCATTTGGCCATGAGCATCTTGCCGTTCCCCAGGACCCACCTACCCTCACCTACTGCACACCAGATGCCACCTCCCCCAGGCGCACCTTCCCCTCAGCGGCCTCCCTGCCAATGTCCTCGTTCTCCTCCTGCAGCGTGCGACACTTAGCCATCAGCATCTTGCCGTTCTTGCTGTGCGGTGTGAACTGCACCGCCGCCAGGTCGTCTTGTAGCTCCCTCACCCGCCGCTCCAGGGCCTCGCTCTCGGTCTGAAAGGGTTAGAATGGGTGCAAATGGGCACTTGGCCATGAGCATCTTGCCGTTCTTGCTGTGCGGCGTGAACTGCACCGCCGCTAGGTCGTCCCGAAGCTCCCGCACTCGCCGTTCTAGAGCCTCGCTCTCGGTCTGATCATGGGTGGGTATGGATGGGATGAGAATGGGTACGAAGGGTGGAGGGAGAGGTAGGAAGGTGAACTGCACCGCCGCTAGGTCGTCCTGCAGTTCCCGCACTCGCTGTTCTAGAGCCTCGCTCTCAGTCTAGAGTGGTGGGTATGGTTGGGGAGGGGTAGAGGCACGGAATTAGAAAGGTGAACTGTACCGCTGCTGAGTCGTCCTGCAGCTCCCTCACTCGCCGCTCCCGAGCCTCACTCTCGGTCTGAATGGATGTGCATGGGTGGGTATGGGTGGGTATGGGTGGGGAGGAAGGAAGCTAAACTGCACCGCTGCTAGGTCGTCCTGCAGTTCCCTCACTCTCCGTTCCAGAGCCTCACTCTTGCTCTGACTATGGGTGGGAATGGGTACGAAGGGTGGCGGGAGAGGTAGGAAGGTGAACTGCACCGCGTCCTGCAGCTCTCGCACTCGCCGATCTACAGACTCACTCTCGGTCCGAAGGAAGGTGTTTAAATGGGTGCACATGAGCGAATATGGATTGGTATGGGTGGAAATGGGTGGGTATGGGTAAGGAGGCCGGAAAGTGAACTGCATGACTGCCAGGTCGTCTTGCCGCTTCAGTGTCTTGCTCTCAGCCTGAAGGGGTGAGAATGCGTGGGTAAGTATGGGTGACTATGGGTAGGTATGTTTGAGTATCAGTGGGGACGGGCAGAGGGAGAGGCATGGACTGTGGCAAGCCAGTAGGCACACACAAATATGCATGGGCATTTGAGTGTGTGTGCGCCTCACCTTGAGTCGTTTGAACTCGGCGTGTATGGCCGCATCTAGCAGCAGTGAGCGAGTCTGGTGCACAACAGTCAATTAGGGAGGAGGGGGGGGGGTGCGGGAGGGACACGGGGAGGTTGCGGAAGAGACACGGGGAGGTTGCGGAAGAGACACGGGCAGAGGCGCGAGTGGAAGGGTAAGAGGGTTGAATTGAAAGCTAGCACGGAAAGCGGTTGAAAAGGTTGGCACAAGGACCAAAAGAGGAAAAGAGGTTGGCCTAGCAGTGCACATCACGACTGAGTCTACGTTCTCACCCTCCTCCCACTGCTGCAGTTGTCCCTCAACCACCCTCCTAGATGGGCAGACAGACATTCTCACCCACCTGCGTGCTGGCGGGCTGCATGCTCTGCTCTCCAACACCTGCTGCACCTGCTGCAATTGCTGCACCTGCTGCACCTGCTGCACCTGCTGCACCTGCTGCAATTGCTGCACCTGCTGCACCTGCTGCACCTGCTGCACCTGCTGCACCTGCTGCACCTGCTGCACCTGCTGCACCTGCTGCACCTGCTGCACCTGCTGCACCTGCTGCACCTGCTGCAATTGCTGCACCTGCTGCACCTGCTGCAATTGCTGCACCTGCTGCACCTGCTGCACCTGCTGCACCTGCTGCAATTGCTGCACCTGCTGCACCTGCTGCAATTGCTGCACCTGCTGCACCTGCTGCAATTGCTGCACCTGCTGCACCTGCTGCAAGTGCTGCACCTGCTGCACCTGCTGCAATTGCTGCACCTGCTGCACCTGCTGCAATTGCTGCACCTGCTGCACCTGCTGCAATTGCTGCACCTGCTGCACCTGCTGCAATTGCTGCACCTGCTGCACCTGCTGCAATTGCTGCACCTGCTGCACCTGCTGCAATTGCTGCACCTGCTGCACCTGCTGCAATTGCTGCACCTGCTGCACCTGCTGCAATTGCTGCACCTGCTGCACCTGCTGCAATTGCTGCACCTGCTGCACCTGCTGCATTTGCTGCACCTGCTGCACCTGCTGCACCTGCTGCAGATGCTCCTTACCTATTTCGCCAATCTAGTGGTTGTCTCCCACCCACCTGCGTGCTGGCGGGCTGCATGCTCTCTAACACCTGCTGCAGCTCCTTGCAGTTGCCCGTTACTCCTTCTGGATAAGTAAATGCTCACTCCCACCCGAATATTGCCCCTTCTAATCTGTATGAGCACATGCTCCCACCCACCTGCGTGCTGGCAGGCTGCATGCTCTCCAACACCTGCTGCAGCTGCTCCTGCAATGCACACATGCGGGGGGAGTGCAACGGATTGAAGGAGCGACTTTTGAGGATTCTCAAAAGTGAATCCTGCAATGCACAAGTGCGGGAGGGAGTGCACGGCATTGGAGGAGCGCACAAGTTTGCATGTCAGGAGCACATCAGTGCATGCCTCTTATTTAGGCGCTGTAGAAATATGGGATCGGTTTTAATGAAGCCTTTATGCCACCTGCAGCACGTTCCATCATATGCCAGCATGCCTTCCCTCTGCCTAGCTCCGTTTCCCACCTTCACACCCAACCACATCTACTACAGAACCCCACTTTCACACCCACCCACCGACCCTCCCACCCACCTTGACGGCAACCACCTCCTACTCCCTGCCCGCCAGGCGATCAGCATGGACTCACACGAGCAGGCTCACATGCACACATGCACACACCCGCCCCCCATGCACCCACCCGTATTCAAACCCACCCACCTTGACAGCAACCCACCTTGACAGCAACCACCTCCTGCTCCCTGCCTGCCAGCCGTATCAACATGGCGGCCTCCCTCCTCCGAGCTGCCAGAAGCTTCTCCTGCACCTGCGCCTCTGCCTCCCGCACTGCCTCAAACGCCACCACCACCGCTGCTGGCTCTGTTGGGGGCGGGTATGGGGTCAGGAGAGAATACGAAGGATATGAAGGACAGCAAAGACAGGCAAGTGGCCTCCCTCCTCCCGAATGTGTCTTTTGAGTCGACTCAAAAGACAGGCAAGTGGCCTCCCTCCTCCCGAATGTGTCTTTTGAGTCGACTCAAAAGACAGGCAGGTGGCCTCCCTCCTCCCAAATGTTGAGAGAATTGAAGGCGGTGCTTGTGTGCCACTTAATCCCGATTCGAGAGGAACAGGAAAGGCAGGTCAGCTCACCAGTGGCAGTCTCAGGCGCAAGTATGATGGCGGGCTGGAAGGCCGTGGCTGTGTGCCACATATTTCGAAACCTAATCAAATCAGGAAACGCAGGCCAGCTCACCAGTGGCAGTCTCAGGCGCAAGGACGGTGGCAGGGTGGAAGGCCGAGCGCCACTTGTGCAGATCGGCAAGGGAGCAGGAAGGCAGGGGAACTGGCAGCACGTGAGGAGGCAGGGCAGGACAGCTCACCAGCTGTAGTCTCAGGCGCAAGGATGTTGGCAGGGTGGAAGGCGGTGCCATGGCTATGTGTCACATATTCTGAAACCTAATCAAAGCAGGAAAGGCAGGGCAGCTCACCAGCGGTGGTCTCAGGCGCAAGGATGTTGGCAGGATGGAAGGCCGAGCGCCACTTGTGCAGATCCGCGTGTGCTTCATCCAATTGTGACTGTAAGGGAGAGAAACAGGTGGGAGCAGTCGTGAGGACAAATGTGCTAGTTTAATGTATAGTGCTGAGGAGTTGGTGGTGCGTGGGAGTAGGCGGCTGGACAGCAGGGAGTAGCGTAGACTAATGTTAAAAGAACGCGTGGAAGACGCACCTGCAGCTTCTTGATAGCGGCATCCTTCTCCTCCACGCTGCCACGTGGCAGAGGGACAGTCAGAGAGAGTGACACGTGGCAGAGGCAAAGTGAGTGAAGGTCAGCCAAATTCCTATATTTGCACGGCCGTTGCAGACGAAGAAAACGAAGAGAAAAGGGCGGAGAGTAGACCCCGAAACCCTAAAACGTACAGGAAGAAAAAACTCAACGCACCAGGCACGAAGAGTGTGAATAATGGTGGTGAGATGGCTTTTGAGTCGACTCGAAACTCGTGGCATGGCATCTCAGACTTGAACCTACCAGGCACGGAGAGTGAGAATCGTGGTGGTGGCATGGTCGTCTGCTGCTGCCACAGCAGCCGGGAATGAAGCCTGGGGGACCCACGGGATGACGAAGCACGAAACATACATTGCGTATCACCCATCCACCATCCACAACTCGCCATCCACCATTCATATTGCGCCACAACTCTTCCGCAAGGACGCCAGATCTCAGTGTTAATCGGAGGTGCTCGCCACCGATTTCGAAACAGGCGTCGCCTATTGCAACCGAACCAGAAAGCGTTTGGCAACACAGATGTTGGAGCAAACAAACCACAGTCGAAGATTCAGCAAGAAGGGTGTGCAGATGTGTTTCTACCGGTGCTGAAGTTTGCCAACGGCACAAGGGTTTCTCCTAGCGGGCAAGATGCAATTTTTAGTCGCTTGACTTACAAACCGCCGTAGAGGCATCCGCGAGGGTACGGTACAATTGTACCTAGGCCCTCTAGCCCGGTTACGACCGTGGATGGTGTTTTTTTGCATTGTATAATGTAATTTCACCTCCTTTCAAAAAAAAAAAATATATATATATATATCATAATGCGCCATCCACAACGCGCCATCCGTCATGCACCGTGCACGAGGCAGGCATCAGGGGTCATCGCCATTCTCCAACAGGCATCGAGAAGCACAAAACAAAAGGCATACATCTAGTGATCCGAATGGTAGTACCCTCGTAGACACCCACAATACCACAACCAGCAGCATTACCCACGCGCACAATCAACCAACCAACAATCCCACCTGCTCATCTTCCATAGGATATATATCCACCTCCTCCTCCTCCCTTTCAACCTCCTCCACCTCCCCTCCCCCGCCTCCCCCATCGGATCCCGTCGAGACCGCACCGCCAGACTTCAAACGGTCAGACGAGATCTTTGTGCGCGCGGCGGCGGCAGCTTCTTGACCGTTGGTGGCCGCGACTCGCGATTCGACTGGTCCTTCGAACTCTAAGTCATCCTAAAATTGGAAACAACAGATAAATACCAGGATAAACAGGGAAATTCCATTGTGCTGGGACCTATATCGCTCGCGGTTTACGATGCCATTGGTCCTGACACAGAAGCACGGCTCACGTGACGAGTAGCTTGCTTATTGAGAAAGATATGAAACAATGATTGCTCCGAAGAAACATCCCGAACAATGCATTTGTTCGAAAGACCAGCCTACCTCCTCCATCGAATCAGCTACTAGTCGTAATTCCCGCGCGGGTGGACTGTACGTCACAACCACACGCTAATAAATGATTCGTTGCAAGACCGACAGCGCCGAAGAGCACAAAACTACGCCGAGTACGTGCCAAAAAGAGCGTGCCTGAGACAAGACCCGCCTGACGAAACTTGCCTATCGACCGAAAGGCAAGGAATGGCTTGCCCTACCCCAGAACTGGCTGCTGATTCGCCTGAGGTGGGGAAAAGATGAACGAGATAAAAACAAGCCTACTAGAACGTGCTGTTACAGTAGTTCCAGAAATTGGTGGGTGCGTGCTGATTTTCCCAGAGAGCTTCAGCGCACACAAACCTAGAAAGTTTCTCTTTTCGGAATGTTAACTACACTTTATGAGGTGCCTTCAAGGTTCGCTGCAATCATGTCTCCTATGCCTTTGCATGGAGACTTTTATTTATGTACACTGTTACCAATATTCTCCTTCATTAGTGTGTAAGTTGGCTTCGCTAAGTCCGACTTGCTTTCGTGTGCAAAATTTGACTTCCATGAAGTTGGAGGGATGTTAGGTTGATGAGAGTAAGGAGTGGAATGGGGGGGCGAAGAGAGGGGTGAAGTGGCCTAAGTTCAAAGCCAAAAGAGATCAAAACACGTCCATATGCCGTATATGTTCACCGAATAGTTTTTATGCATGGTATGTATAGAATAAACAGGTTTCTGCTCTCATATCTCCAAAAATGCGGTGGAAGCTTTACCCAAGGCTAGTATCTAGTTGTAGTCCATTTTTCTTTTTATTTTATAGAGTCTGGGCTGGACGTATTCTGTGCAATTGAGTTGTGTACAAACGAGGAAATTTTTCCTCGTCCACAGACAACCCGCACGGCACGATCACCTGACAGATACGTCGATTGGATTGGCAGCGCGCCGGTTCGGGTCGGCTCGAGTCGGGTGGATGATCAAGCACATTACAGGCGGCAGAGAAAACAACGCCAGCACTGACACAAAAGCCACGTGATTGGCTGACAAGAATTGGGGAAGAAAGAGGAACAAGGGGAAAAATGGGGTCTAACTAAACCCGTCGTCATTCCCTAGAAGGGTCTGATCCGCAGACCACGTGGATATGATCCCCCCCGTATTGTGGACCCGAGGGCCTTCCTTTGGGGGGGCCCTAGTAAGCTGTGAATACCGTATCATACATCTAGAGTCTGATTGAAAGGCTATTGACCCCGCAAGGGTTACGAAAAGATCTCATCAGCACAGACCTTCACCGGGCTGTTTTTCCCATTACGATATGCCGTTCCTTTAGTCAATCGAGACACGTCTTATCGGAGTGTCCTGCGAGGGCCGCCCTTTTCGTCGGCGGCCGACGGCCATCCCAAGAAATTCCCGCGCAAAATTTTCCCCCAAGATTTCCATAAAGGTTTCCTTAGGATGGGCTCTTCCCTGTGGACACAGCGGCTACGCCAATGCGTGCCGCTGACGACAGACGCAGCCATCATTGCGCTGCAAGCGGGCCTGCTTGTCGTTTTCCTCGGTCTCCTCCACTCCTCCTCTCCGCCCGACCTCCTTCCGGGCTCTCAACTTTTGCGCTCCCTTTCCTTCTCCGCGTCACCCGGCGACTCTACCACTTCGGCGGCCCCTCATCAGCATATCTCCGTTGATTGCTGCACTAAGAACAGCAGCAGCAGCAGCAGCAGTATCGAAGACTCTTCTAACGAGGACAATCCTCCGCCCTTCCCTCCACCGGAGCGCGCCATCGTGGCGTGGTTCGCGCGCCGCTATTGGTCCGCCATGAACGCAGAGGCGGCGCGCTGCGGATTGAAGCGCAGCCGCCAGGTGGCGTGGCATGATTTGCTCGCGGGAGTGAGCAATCAGGACAGGGTTACCCGCGCAAACTACCCGGGAATTGCAGGGGCGTTTTTCGACACGGCTTTCAACTTCAGATTCGTTCGGAACACGTGAGGCTGGTTGGAATCTGGGCCGTTCATTACGAGAGGGTGGTAATGCTCTGCACTGTCATCATTGTCTTCAATTTATCTGCTTACATGCCACCACCCTTTTTGTCTTTTCTGATCCCCCCCCTGCCTTCCCCCTTTCCTATCCTCCTCCCTCTCCCCCCCTCCTCCTTCCACACTCCATGCTTGCCCCACTCGCCCCACTCCCCACTTTTCTTCCCTCAAATTCCATCATCCCTGTTTCCCATCCTCCCTCTCCCCATCTCCCATTTCGCCTTCGTAAGTTGCCCTTCTCTCCCCCATTCCCTCCCTGCTCGTTCCCCTCCCTCCCAAACCCCCCCTCCCCCTGCACCTTCCCCCTCTTCCCCCCGCCTTTCCCCCTCTATTCCAGAGCGCGTCCGCCTTTCACTAAGAACCCGGCATGTCGGCATCTGCGCCGGGGATGTGCCTTCTCGCTGCTGCGCCAGCTTCCGCTCCTGCAACTGCCGCCCAAAGAGCTTCAGCTGCCGCTTAAAGATGTGCAGCTGCCACCCGAAGAATCGGAGAAGGGAGCGAGCGGCAGCGGGGTGGCCGTGAAGGGAGTGGCGGTCGATTCGGATTTGAAGCTCATTGCAATTGTCTTTCCACAGGTAATGTGCTGTGCGATCTGGTGGGATGATGTGCGGTATGATGGGGTGGAAGTGCGATGCAATGGGGTGTTGTGTGGTGCCGCTGGGTGGGCATCTTCCCTCTTATGAACGAGGTATGCACAAAGATGTTCAGAGCATGAATGATTGCCTTGCCATCATTGCATGGAATGACAACTCCCTTCCTCTCCCGTTCCCTTCCTCTCCCGTTCCCCTCCACTCCTTCCCTTCCATTCGTTCCCCTCGGTGTCTCCGTCCCCAAAGTGGAACAGAAATGGAAACATGTGCGTCTGCTGCTCCAATCCCTCTTGCTCGCTGCTCCAACCCCTCTTGCTCGCTGCTCCAATCCCTCTTGCTTGCTGCTCCAACCCCTCTTGCTCGCTGCTCCAACCCCTCTTGCTCGCTGCTCCAACCCCTCTTGCTCGCTGCTCCAACCCCTCTTGCTCGCTGCTCCAACCCCTCTTGCTCCCTCCCAGTTCCACGCATGCAGGGAGAACGATGAGTTCTGGGGAGTCAATTTCACAGAGTGGGAACAATGTCAAGCGAGCCTTTTTCCACCCCACCACCTTCCGCCCTGTCGCCCACCCCATCGGCCCCGCAACTCCTTCCAAACCTTACCAAACCGCTCTACACTCCCTCTCTTCTCCCGCCCCGAACGCACTCCCCATCTCCCATCCCCTCTCGCCCCTCTCCGGTGGTTATTATAACTTCCTTTCCCGCTCCCACCGCCGCCGAACCTCAGTTCTGGCCCGGGCCTATGGGCTCCATGGCCTGTGCTACCACCACTACTGGTTCGGCTGCCGCCGAACCACGCTCGCCGAGCCTCTGCTCCGGATGCTAGAAGATGGCGAGCCCAACCTCCCGTTTTGTCTTATCTGGGCAAATGAGCCGTGGACAAACCGGTGGGATGGGGCGAAGGGGGGAGGGGGAGGGAGTGGGAACGGAGTGTTGCTGGAGCAGACATATGGGGATGAGAAGTGCTGGAAGGAGCATTTTGACTGGCTGTTGAAGTTCTTCAACCATCCGAACTACATCAAGGTGTGCAATGGTTTTCTGCAAGGCTGTGCAATTCTTTTCTAGGTAGGTGGCTTCTTCCCACCCATGCTTGTCCAAGCTTCCTCCCTCCAGTGATAGCTTTAACCTAACTGACGATTCGTGAAATCCTTCTCTTTTCACTTGGCTCCTGATGACAATATTGTGTATGTTCCCTCTTTGCTTACGTTCACTCTTTCGCACTCATCTCCACCCCACCAGGTATCAGGCAGGCCTATGTTTGGCATCTACCATCTCGGCGACATTCCCGGACCTGAGGCTCGGGGGATGTTTGACCTCTGGCACAGCCTGGCTCGGCAGCAAGGCTTCCTGGGCCTGCATCTGTTCCAGAGCCTCACAAGCCCCAACAGCAAACCGAGCCAACGCTCCCTTGTCCAAGCCGTGGCAGAATACGAACCTAACTACCGCAAGTTTAGGTTCAACGAGACCCCATCCGAGGTTCGGCTTCATCCGAACCACTACCGAGGCTCGTATGTGGCATGGGATAATTTCCCCAGGCACTCGACGGACCTAGCATGGAGGCGGGGGGATGTGGCAGAGGACCCGATCCACTTGACAGCAAGGATGGAGGCTCGGATGAGGCTGGCTCGGCGAGACGTGGCTGAGGTTCGGGCAAGGTTTGGCAGCCCAAATGGCGCAAGGACTGAAGGACTTAGCTTAGGTCAAGTCCAGGAAGGTTCGGACAAAGGTGCGGTTGAAAAAGAGACACAGGAGGTGCAAGAAGGTGTTGCGAACGGGACGTTCTTCTTTGTTGCAGCTTGGAACGAGTGGGGCGAAGGCAATGCTCTCGAGCCAAACCACGTCTTTGGGTTTGGAAACCTCAACGCTGTTGCCCGAGCCTATGCCCGAAGCAGGCATCCAGCCACCGAGCCTCAACTCGTGCTTCGGAGATTAGCCGAAGCTGCAGTGGCATGCGCGCTTTGTCTGGATGTGAGATACTATGTGGATATGGATTCTGAGTTGTATGAGGGGCTGGAAGGGCGTGTGAGAAAGGAGGGAGGAGGCATTGTGAAGCACTTCATAGAGAAGGGATTTCTGGGAGGGAAGCAGTTCAGGCTGAGGCGAAGACGGAAGGGGGAAGGGCTGGGGGAAGGACAGGGGGAAGGGCAGGGAAAAGTGAACGGGGGGCAGGAGGGGGAGGATGATGGGGAGGATGGAGATGATGAGGAGGGAGATGGGGAGGGGGTTTGGGAAAGCAACTCAGCTCAACTGGAAGGGTACCATGAGCTCAGCTGCTTTTCCAAACGCATGGCTGTGAACAGGACTTCTGGTAATAGTGGTGGTGGTGGTGGTGGTGGTGGTGGTGCTGGTGGTGGTGCTGGTGGTGCTGGTGGTGGTGCTGGTGGTGCTGGTGGTGCTGGTGGTGGTGCTGCTGCTGCTGCTGCTGCTGCTGCTGCTGCTTCTGCTGCTGCTGTTCCTGCTGCTGCTCCTGCTGCTGTTCCTGCTGCTGGTACTGCTGAGGATGATGGTAGGGAGGGGTTTAGAAACAGTGCAGGTGTTGTGGGGTGCAAGTGGTTGAAATTGCCTCTAGACTATGTAACAGTCGCCTATCTTGTAGAGGAAGAGCTTATATAGTGGTCCTATCTTTTATATCGCTCTTACAATCGAGCCTTGCCAACAAAACCGAATACTTTGCCAAAAGCAGCACATATAACATCAGCAGGTACTGTAACCAACCGCATTGCCTGCAGTTCAGTATACAGCACGTTTATGGTCCACTGTTTTGTGCCTCACTGCCACCTTCCCGCAATTCACCGCCTTGTCTAATTGGGCAATTGTTTCACCAGCACTCCTGTCAACCCTACCTGGTACATTTTTAGGTCAGTTACGACTGCGGTTTTACGGTATCTGTTTATGATTGCGTGCCTGAACCCGAGTTCATAAGTGATTTGTCCTATGGTACAGTTGCTGTACAAGGTGTTACAAAACAGCTCACTCTAATCGCAAAACAAGGGTGACACCTCTGGGATGAAACCTCTTCGACCCCGATTGCGCATGATGCACCACGCCGTAACACGCCCATGACAACACTGGATTCCAGTGTTGTCAACACATGTTGTTGAGGGTCACATCAAAGCCACATCACGTCACTTTTCTTCGATTGAATGGTTGCGCGCCGACAAGATACGATAGAACCCTAGTCTTCGTTCTGCCATCTCTTTAATCGTATCGTCGCGCGTCCTATTGGAATGTCCTGATGCGAGGACCAACCACGTCCTTCCTATGGACACACAAGCTCCGCCAATGCGTGCCGCTGACGCTAGCTGCAGTCATCCTTGCGCTGCAAGTGGGCCTGCTTGTCGTTTTCCTCCGTCTCCTCCACTCCTCTTCTCCACCCTTCCTCCCGGGATCTCAACTCTTTCGCTCCCTTCCCCCCTCCGCGCCAGCCGGCGATTCCACCATTTCGGCGTCCCCGCATCAGCATATCTCCGTTGATTGTCGCATTAAGAACAGCAGCCGCAGCAGCAATGGCACGAGTAGCTCCTACGACGCTATCGGAGACGCTTCTAACGAGGAAAATTCTCCGCCCTTTCCTCCACCGGAGCGCGCCATCGTGGCGTGGTTCGCGCGTCGCTATTGGTCCGCCATGAACTCAGCAGCGGCGCGCTGTGGGTTGAAGCGCAGCCGCCAGGTGGCATGGCATGATTCGCTCGCGGGAGTGAGCAATCAGGATAGGGTTACCCGCGCAGACAACCCGGGAATTGCAGGGGCGTTTTTCGACACGGCTTTCGACTTCAGATTCGTTCGGAACATGTGAGGGTGGTTAAAGTCGGCATCTCTGCGTGGTTATCTGCGTATGAGTCACCCTCTTTGTCCTTGCATTCTCCATGCTTCCCCCCCTTCCCCTCTCCTCCCTCCCCACCCCCTTTCTTCCTCACTCCATGTTCCCCCCTCGCTTCCTTTGAAATTCCATCATCCCTTTTTTTCCATCCGCGCTCTCCCATCTCCTGCTTCCTCTTTCCTTTCTTTCTCCCACCTCCTCCCGCCTTGCGCTTTCCCCCTCTCCTCCTCCCCCCCGCGCCCTCCCCCTCTTCCCCCCGCCTCCCCCCCTCTAGCCCAGAGCGCGTCCGCCCTTCTCCAAGAACCCTGCATGTCGGCATCTGCGCCGGGGATGTGCCTTCTCGCTGCTGCGCCGCCTGCCACTCGTGCATCTGCCGCCCAAAGAGCTACAGCTGCCGCCCAGAGAGCTGGTGTCGCCGCCCGAAGAAATGAATCTGCCGATCGAAGAATCGGAGAGTGCAGCCGGCAGCAGCGGGGTGGGCGTGAAAGGAGTAGAGGTTGATCCCGATTTGAAGCTCATAGCGATTGTCTTTCCACAGGTGATGTGTGGTTTGATGAGGTGATGTGTGGTGAGATGAACGGGCGGTGCGATAGGGTGTTGAGCGGTGCCGTTGGGTGGACATTTTTCCTCTGGTTGATTGATTGAGTTACCATGCTCCAAGGGGTTCAAAGCACGGGTGCAGAGCCACGTCACGTCACCAACTCTCCTCTTCTGCCCATTCCCTTCCATTCGTTTCCCTCCACTTCTCCATCCTCCCCTTTTTGCTTCCAGTTCCACGCATGCAAGGAGAACGATGAGTTCTGGGGAGTCAATTTCACAGAGTGGGACAATGTCAAGCGAGCCTACTTCCACCCCACCACCTTCCGCCCTGTCGCCCACCCCATCGGCCCCGCAACTCCTCCCGAACCTCCCCATACCACTCTACACTCCCTCTCTACCCCCATCCCGAACGCACTTCCAATCTCCCACCCCCTCTCGCCCCTCTCTGGTGGGTATTATAACTTCCTCTCTCGCTCCCACCGCCGCCGAACCTCAGCTCTGGCCCGAGCCTACGGGTTCCACGGCCTGTGCTACCACCACTACTGGTTCGGATGCTGCCGAACCACGCTCGCCGAGCCTCTGCTCCGGATGCTAGAGGACGGCGAGCCCAACCTCCCGTTTTGTCTTATCTGGGCGAATGAGCCGTGGACAAACCGGTGGGACGGGGCGAAGGGGGGAGGGGGAGGGAGTGGGAACGGAGTGTTGCTGGAGCAGACATATGGGGATGAGAAGTGCTGGAAGGACCATTTTGACTGGCTGCTGAAATTCTTCAGCCATCCGAACTACATCAAGGTGTGCTATGCAACCCCTTTCTGGGTGAATAGATAGCTAGGTCTCAGCGATGCTTGTCCTGAGTGGTTTGGCTCCATTGATTGCTTCTTACTCACGATCTTTCTAGCTAACATTTCTCCTCGCTCCTTTCCCTGTCTGCTTGCCCCTCTTCTTGCCTTCTCCATGCATCTCTCTTCCTTTTCTCTTCGGCTCTCGCTCACTAACGCTCTCATCTCCACCCCACCAGGTATCAGGCCGGCCTATGTTCGGTATCTACCAACTCGGCGATATTCCCGAACCTGAGGCTCGGGGGATGTTTGACCTCTGGCACAGCCTGGCTCGGCAGCACGGCTTCCCGGGCCTGCATTTGTTTCAGTGCCTCACACACACCAACAGCACACCGAACCAACGCTCCCTTATCCAAGCCGTGGCAGAATACGAACCTAACTACCGCAAGTTTCAGTTCGGCGAAACCCCATCCCCGGTTCGGCTTCATCCGAACCACTACCGAGGCTCGTATGTGGCATGGGATAATTTTCCCAGGCACTCGACGGACCTGTCGTGGAGGCTCGGGGATGTGGCCGAGGACCCGATCCACTTGACAGCAAGGATGGAGGCTCGGATGAGGCTGGCTCGGCAGGACGTGGCTGAGGACCGGGCAAGGTTCGACAGCCCAGACGGCACAAGGACTCAAGAACCCAGCTTAAGTCAAGACCAGGAAGGTTCAGAGAAAGGGCAAAGAGGCTCGGATACAGGTGGAGTAAAAAAAGAGTCAGTGGAGGTGCAAGAGGGGGGGGCTTCAAATTTGACAGTGCAAGAGGGGGCTGCAAACGGGACGTTTTTCTTTGTTGCAGCTTGGAACGAGTGGGGTGAAGGCAATGCTCTCGAGCCGAACCACATCTTTGGGTTCGGAAACCTCAACGCTGTCGCCCGAGCCTATGCCCGAAGCAGGCATCCAGCCACCGAGGCTCGGTTCGTGCTTCGGAGATTAGCCGAAGCTGCGGTGGCGTGCGAGCTTTGTCTGGATGTGAGATACTATGTGGATATGGATGGTGAGCTGTATGAGGGGCTGGAAGGGCGTGTGAGACGGGAGGGGGGACGCATAGTGAAGCACTTTATAGAGAAGGGGTTTCTGGGAGGGAAGCAATTCAGGTTGAGGCGTAGGCGGAACGGGGAAAGGGAGTGGGAAGGGCAGGGCGTAGGGCAAGGGGGAGGTCAGGGGGAAGGCCAGGAGGAAGGCCAGGGGAAGGTGAATGGAGGAGAGGAAGGAGAGGAGGATGGTGAGGAGGGAAATGGGAAGGGGGATTGGGAAAGCGAAGCTGCTCAATTGCAAGGATACCATGAGCTCAATTGTGTCGCGAGGGGCTTTAAGAACATGACGGGTGGTGTTGCCGCTGCGGATGCTGATGCTGTTGATGCTGCTGCTGCTGATAGAGGGGGGTCAAGATCGAGAGCGGGTGTAGAGTGCAAGTGGTTGAAGCTGCCTCTGGACTATGTAACAATTGCCTATCTTGTGGAGGAGAAACTTATCTAACATTTTCTTTCTTTTATTGCAAGAAGGCCCCGCTAGCCAGCAAGAAGCTCGCCCTGCTTACGAAACAGGAAAAATTTCAGCAGATAAGAAGCTGTACATTGCCAGCAGAGCAGGACACATCTTGTTGCCCTCACTCACCGTTGTTTTGTGTCTCTAACCACCATCACTGCACTTCGCCTCTCTTTCTATTGTGGGCCATAAGAAAGCCCTCCATGCTGCAGCTCTTGTATCTGCCCCTGTTGCTTCAGCTGCTGATTTTGAATCTACTCAAACGCAATTCACCTCATCTCTGTCTACTATGGGCCATACAGCCCTTCATGCGGCACCTCTTGTATCTGCCCCTGCTGCTGCAGCTGCTGGAACTGCTGCTGATGCTGAAGCTGCTGCTGCTGCAGCTGTTGCTGTTGAAACGACTGCTGCTGCTGCAGCGGCCCTGTTCCTTGTTCAGGGCTCTTTCCTTCGCTAGTACTGCTAGGCACTCCCGAGCTTCTATGCCGGAGATCGTAGATCTCGCGCTTGTACTGTAGATACCGAGCCTCCGCCTCAGGTATGGTAGCCATGATCGCAGCCAATCGCAGCCCTATATCGTCAACCTTCTCCTGCAGGATATCGCTCGTGAATAACCCGTCTATAACCAGAACTAACCCCCGCCAGTTCTCGTAAACGGGCAGGAAAATGATCACCACAGACGCAACCACGCCCCACGTGATCGCAATCACGACCCAGAAAGTGAAATACCCGAGGGAAAATACCCCTGCGGGGAGCGCTAGCAGCGGCCAGAGGGCGAGGAGAACGACGGAGAGGCAGACCCCCCAGAGGATGATCCAGTGGCGGGCCTGCTTGAGGCGCGTCTCATCGTGCTCCCAGGGGGGTATGTCGGAGTGCCAGTCCCGATCCACGAGCGTTATGGCTCTCGTGCTGGCATAGTCATAGTCGTCTGGATACTTGAGGCTGGATGGGAAGAGAAAAAGAGAGGGTAAGGAGAGGAGGAGAACAGGGAGTGAGAGGGAGAAAGGCAAATGGTCAGAGGGCCAGGAGAACGATGGAGAGACAGACTCCCCAGAGGATGATCCAGTGGCGAGCTTGCTTGAGGCGCGTCTCATCGTGCTCCCAGGGGGGTATGTCGGAGTGCCAGTCTCTATCCACCAGCGTTATGTCTCTGGTGCTGGCATAGTCGTAGTTGTCTGGATACTTGAGGCTGTGGGGAGTAAGGATGTGCGTGGGAGAGGACAAGAGCAAGGGAGACCAGATTGAGGGGGGTTATGTCGGAGTGCCAGTCTCTATCCACCAGCGTTATGGTTCTCGTGCTGGCATAGCTATACTCGTCTGGATAATTCAGGCTGGGAGGGGCATGGGGGTGGGAGGAGAATGAAGGTAAGCAAGAGTATCTGAGGCAGGGGACACGAGCCAGGACAAAACAGATAAATGGTAAGAGAGGTGTAAAAGACCCACCTGAGAGCCACGTGCACAATGCCACCCACAAAGAGCGACACCAAGTTGCCGGTCAGCGTCGGTGCCTCTTCCCCCGTACTGTTGAGATCCACAGTACCGTACATGACAACTGCTACAGTAATCCACGACACTACACCCGAGATCATCCCGATAATGCACCCAGCTATCGCCCCCACTGCGTTTGCCTTTTTCCATAGGAGCAGGTTCGTTACAGGTATAACCGCACTCCCTATAAGCACGCCCATTACAAGGTACATCCAGCCTAGGGAAACCCGCAACTCGCTAAGCCCCACCGCCAGTACACCCATAAACAGCCCGTAACTCAGCACGAAAACCCGAGAGTAAAACAAAATCTGCCGCCCAGTTGCCTTCGGGTTGATATACGTGCGATAAATATCATAAGTCATAAGCGAAGAAACCGCTAAAAGCTCCGCAGACCCAGCAGAAGTGACAGCCATGAACACCATAACGAGGATAAGCACTGCCCCTGCATCCCCCATTAAAGCCACGGCAGCCGCGGGGGGAACGAGGCCGCGGGAAGCTTCCTCTAGAGTGACCGGCAATCCCAAGGCGAGGCAGGAAAGGCCGAGGGAGGTCCCGAGGGAGAAAGGGACAGCGAACCAGACGAGGCCTCCGAGAATGTAGCCTCTGTGCGTGGACGAGGGGCGCGATGCTATTGCACTCATCCAATAACCCTGTGCGGTGGGGGGTGAGGTGAGAGTGGGAGGAGAAGGGAGGGGAGGCAGGGAGCGGAGTGGGAAGGATGGGGGAGAAAGGGACAGCGAACCAGACGAGGCCTCCGAGGATGTAGCCTCTGTGCGTGGACGAGGGGCGCGATGCTATGGCGCTCATCCAATAACCCTGTGCGGTGGGGGGAGTGGGGGGGAGAGTGGGAGGGAGAGACACACACGTCAGCTGCTCTCATCACCTACCCAAATTACGACACGCACACAAGAGGAGGAAAAAAAAAAAAAAAAAAAAAAATCAACAACAACAACAACAACAACATGTGCATTATCCGGAAACACGGGTCTCACATTGTCAAGGAAGACTGCTCCAAAGTTGCCCACGATGTTGACAATGCCAAACATGAACCCCCCGGGTGACAGCATGGTCAGGTACGACCCCTCATAGTTGCCGTCCACCGGCCCGCACACCTGGTGACGGGTTGAGGTGTGGGTGTTTGAGATGGAGGAGGGGAGGGGGGGGGAAGGGAGAAAGAGCTCGGTCAGGTACGACCCCTCTCGGTGACGAGAAACGTAACCCCTCTCGGTGACGAGAAACGTAACCCCTCTCGGTGACCGCACAGTCAGGTACGACCCCTCGTAGTTGCCATCCACCAGTCCGCACACCAGGTGACAGGCATGACAGGCGTGCATGTGCGCATGGAGTGTGTGTGTGAGTGTGAGAGGGGGAGGGAGGAAGAGAAGAGCAACTCAGGCGGCAGTCTGTGGTGGGACTGGCAACAGTCTCTGGTACGACTCGAGGTTGCTTAAAGGACACATCCAGAATTACCGTGTCGGCCCCAAAACTGTCACCACTTTCGTGTGATTGGTCGAGGATTTTGAGTGGGTTTTTGACGAGATTGGTTCTCGATTTCCCCACCGAACCTGTCTCTGGGGTTTCCCGAACCTACAATTTTTTCGTTGACTTCGTTGTGTAATTCGGGGTGTGGCCTTTAAGACAGCAGCAGGCGAGCCAAGACAAGGGCTTTAAACTGTGATGCTATACTGCTTCTAAGACAGTCCTAAGCGCTTTAAGTGCAGTTAAGGCCTCACCTGCCCGGGGTTAGTGAGGTGGCAGTCTCTGGTTGGGCTGGCAGCGAACTCAAGGTTGTTGAAGACAGCAGCAGTTGAGCTGAGAAAGGGGCGTTACACCCTGATGCTTAGGGCACTATTAAGAGATTTCACAGACGCTCAAGGCCTCACCTGCCCGGGGTTAGTGAGGCGGCAGTCTCTGGTTGGGCTGGCAGCGAACTCAAGGTTGTTGAAAACAGCAGCGGGCGAGCCGAGGTAGCCGCTGAAGCAATAGACTAGAAGCACGAAGGTGACGAGTATGCCGTGCACGATGGCGCTGTGGATGTAGGACGCCAGGAAGGTGGCCTGGTGTGGGGGGAGATGAAGGTTGCGCAGGTTGGGAAGGGATATGGTATGGGTGCGAGGGAGAGCAGCAGGAAGGTACAGAGGATGCAGTGCACGATGGCGCTGTGGATGTAGGACGCCAGGAAGGTGGCCTGAAGTGTGTGGGGGGGGGTGGATAAAGGCGAAGAGGTTGGAAAGGGTATGATAAGCGTGCTTGCAGAGCCGAACGAAGGTCACACGGATGCCATCATGCCATGCACGCTGGCGCTGTGGATGTATGACTCCAGGAAGGTGGCCTGGTGTGGGGGGGAACTGGTGGGAGTGCACGAGTGAGGAAGGTCAAGAGGACACGGTAGAGGAGCAAGGAGAGCAGCACAAAGGTCACACGGATGCCATGCACGCTGGCGCTGTGGATGTATGACTCCAGGAAGGTGGCCTGGTGAAGATTGGGGTGGGATAAGGGAGGAGCACACGTTGGAAGTGATATGGAAGGGGTGGCAGGAGGGAGGAGCAAAAGGGCACGGGCGAGAGAGACATGTGCCTGACTCACCTTGAGGCCTCCGGCAAGGGTGTAAAAGATGACT